GAGGAACATTCACCCCTCTCACCTGAAAGTTCTAATAAAATTAAGGGAACAAAGGATATACTGATACTGAGAATTTCATATTCTATCTTTAAAAACCTCCCACATGACAAGCTTCTTATTAACTAACTGATAGAGTACAGCCATCCTTTGGTGATTGACTGCCAGATATCTTGGAGCTCCACAATCTTCAGAAACGCAGGGCCTCTTGCATACAGTGGTGTGCTATTTCCATGCATCTTCCACACACCCTTCGTACACTGTAAATCATCTCTATAACCTGTAATCTCTGTTACAAGGCAAAAGCCATCTTTGTAGCTATTAGTGTATTATTTGAGATAATATGAAAAATAAATTTGTTCATGTTTAATGCAGATGTGATTTCTTTTCTTTGAATATTTTTGTCCCTGCAGTCCAAGGTTATACATTTATGGGTAGACTACATTTTATCGAAGTGCTGAAGTTTTTTTTTTAGCAAAATGATAAGCTAACAGTTAAGATGACCACCCTAATAAGGAAACAAAAATATTTCCCTATAGCTAAGAAAACAATATAGTTTTTATATAGCCCTAAACAACAGTTCTCTATCACTTGGGAATCTTCAAGTGAAAACTAAAAAAAAAAAAAAAAAAATTAAAAAAAAAAAACAAACAACAACAAAAACAAATAACCAAAGTGGCAGGTAAGTATGGTACAATAGCATTCAAGCATTAGATTATACAATATTCAATATTCCTTCAAAAGCTCTGAGATTATAACCCAATTTTCATTCTTTTATTAAACAATTAAATTAGAATCTCTTTCCTAAAGACTGACATAATTATTGCTAACAAAAACAAACATGAAAATAATTAACAAAGGAATATTACATTTCACCACAGAATACCTAAAGAGTATTGTAATTTTATGATAGCAATTGTAATAAGTTGAATATAATGAATCATAACTCTATGGACTATTCTGTAAATTGAAGAGTTAAGTAAAATTGGATTGCCAACAAATTAAACAATTTGAGAACATTGCAAATATACTTAACTCTTTTTTTGAAACTGGAACTGCAGATATTGACTTGATCAAGCTTTCTGGTGGAAGAGCCAATATTCTGGAAAGCTAAAAGCAAAAAAGAACAAAACAGGATAAAATTGTTGATTTATCTATTCTAGAGTGAATGGAATACTACTAGCAACAAAAGAAATGTCATTAACACATTTAACATAAATGAAGCTCAAATACATGATATCAAGTAAAACCCATATTAAAGAATATATATAGTATGATACAATGTTTCTGATAGCCTAGAAAACAAAAAACTATCAGACTGAGGTAAAGATTTGTGGGTGTTAGGGGTTGAGTATAACATAATGGTTTGAATGTAAAGTAGCAAGCAGAACTACTGTGGTGGTATTCTAATTGTACTGAAATGTGATTTTGATTGTATGTTAATAAATAAAGTTGCCCAGGTGTCAGAGCTATTAGAGCCATAGACAGAGTGTGGCGGTGGTGGCACACGCCTTTAATCCCATAGATCTCTGTGTGTTCAGGGATACAGCCAGCATTGGAGACATATGCCTTTAAGACCTAGGGGGCTGTACATTCAGACAGTGACGAGGCAGTCACGTGTTTGGGTTTACAACCAATGAGAAGGCAGAACAGAAAGACTATTTAAAGACATACACACAGGAAATAGCTCTTTTTTTCGGGAAGCTGGGACACCGCAGGAGGAAGGGTGAGATTTTAGCTCTGAGCTCTGACCTCTTGGCTTTCTCTTTTACATTGTTTCTGTATTTCTTATTTAATAAGACGGTTGGATACATCTACAAACTACTTATCTTTCAATGGATTTTTTGTTTGTCAATTTATAAGAAAAATCTAAATAAATGAAAAAAGATATGAATCACTGAGAATCCAAAAATATTTTTCATTAAGAAATACTTATTGAGTAGCTAATGTGTAGCAGGCAGTATTTTAGGAGTTGATGCTATAACAATAAACAAAACAGAAAAAAAGTTTTATGGCACTTAACAGTAACAAGTAAATATTAGTGAAAAAAATCTGATCCCCATGCCCAAACCTTAAGGTTTACTCATCAGAATAGCAGGAATAACAAAACAAAACAAAAAATAAACCAAACCAAGGCAAAGGCCATGATATAACTCAGTGTTGTTGCACTAACCACTTGCCCTAGGTTTGGTATGTATGAGGCCCCAGATTGCTCCTTAGCACACAAATAATAAGTAAGCGGAAACAGGTGCATGAAGCTTCTTTCCTGCTTATGTTAAGTTTGGTAGTAGAGGCATTTCCATGTTCAGAGCAATCCTGTGACAGGCACATAGGATTTAGCTCTTCCTTGGGCATGTGGCATACGAGAGAGAACTTTGTTAAGTAGTCAGAGACCATTACAGAAAACCACAACCAATCATAGTGCAGTTGTGGAGCTCAACCTCAAAACTTTGGTGCAAGAAATTTAAGAGACGGCTTCTTCTGGGAACTGGGAATTGCACTGTGAAGAGTGAGAAAGGAGAAGAGTTTATAGAAGATTGTACCAACAGGGCTGGGACAAGGCTCAATTGGTAAAGTGTTTGCCATGAACGCATGAGGACCTGGGTTTGGAACCCTAGCATTCTTCTAAGAGCTGAGCATGGTGACACATGTCTGTAACTCCAGTGCTGGTGCATTAGGGATGGGGAAGAAAAGGGCCTAAAGCTGGGTATGAAATAACCAAGCTGATCAGATGAGGAGGAGGGTGGGGGAGGGGAAAGAATGTGATTAAAAATACAATGCATGAATTTTCTTTCTTTTTTTTTTTTTTGCATAAAAAAGGGTAGGGCTTGCCGGGTGGTGGTGGCGGCGGCGCACGCCTTTAATCCCAGCACTCGGGAGGCAGAGCCAGGCGGATCTCTGTGAGTTCGAGGCCAGCCTGGGCTACCAAGTGAGTTCCAGGAAAGGCGCAAAGCTACACAGAGAAACCCTGTCTCAAAAAAAAAAAAAAAAAAAAAAAAAAAAAGGGTAGGGCTGTGAGCTAGTGTCAGCAAACCAGTTGACTTGCTTGAGGAACATTTGTAAGACAATGTTGCCCATTCATTGGGAAAGAAATAAGGATTGTACCTATTTTAGGAAGGAGACCACTCCTGACTGCCACACAGACAAGGAATTCTGGTATAGGTAACCAAGAAAAATTTCAGCAACACCTTGATAATGCCAATGAGATTTCCTGAAAAGTTGTGTCTGCAGTAGCTAAGTGACTAAAACTTCAATGGCTGTGAGTTCAGAATGTTATAGATCCAGAGCCTAATTACAATTCATCTTGGTCACCTCCCACCACTGGACCTAATATCCTCCTCCTACTGGTCAAACATAACATCCTGACAAACAGATAAAACCTTCTGGGGTGCATTAACTAAACAAAACCCTAGCTTCCCACCCAGCACAGGACAAAAAGTGCTGTTAGATAGCATCCAAGGGCCACAGAAGAGTTAACCCCATCTTACTGTAACCTACCTCGCCAATGATTCCATCAATATATTTTAAAATGCTTTGGTTTACAATTTTCTTTGTTCTGTTACTGTAAAAACTCCATGAAACTGCTTCATATTGGACCTATGGAAACTGAGGTACCACAAATCCATGCTCCCTCAAATTTAGCTCTAGAATAAACTATCTCTTACCCCCTTAGAGTTGAGAGCTGTAGATTAGCATCGACAGTAGTTATGATAGGTGTTAATTTCCTGCCATGGTAGAACTAAAAGCTGGTCACATAAAGATGAGAACAAAGAAAGCAGAGGCTAATTCATGGCTTACAGATCCTGCCAAGGGCTAAGAACGGGCAACTCCTGCAAGGTGCACTGACTAGCAATGCCCTCCTGGGATAAAGGTCAGCAGAGAGTCATAGTCAACAGCTCAAAAGGCAAGTCAAAGATAGAGAAAAGGGGGTTCAAAGTATGATCACCTCCCTAATTGAGCAAACAGCGCATAACAACCTGTGATCAGCTCCCTCGTGGGCCAGAGAGACATGCACAGCCATTAGAGAAACCTTGAAACACCTCCCCCACCTCCCACCACTCCCACAAATAGCCACAGACTTCCCGGCTCTGGATTTCTTTTCCCTCCCATTCCTGAGGTAGAAGCCTGCCTCAATAAATAAAAAACAAACAAACCAAAAACCAAAAACATCGTTTCATTCTCTCTGTCTCTCAGTCTTCTGTATTTCTTGTATTTTGGGCTGTTGTCTGTCAGGTCAAGACAGGTCAAGTGTCTTTCTCCACCTTATTTCTTTTGAGATAAAGTCTCTCACTGAACCAGACCCGCTGGACCCACCTGCTTCTGTTTCCACCTCCCAGAATTGTGGTTTCAGACTTCCTTAGCCACGCACACTTTTTTTTTTTTTCCCCACAGACGCTGGAAATTCGAACTCGGGCTCTTCTACCCAAGGAGCCATCTCCGCAGCCCTTAGCATGGTTTTATTTTTTAGAGACAGGGTTACTCTGTGTAACAGCCCTAGCTGTCCTGGAACTCGCTCTGTAGCCCAGGCCGGCCTCGAACTCCCAGAGATGCACCTGCCTCTGCCTCCCACTGCTGGGATTGAAGGTGTGCGCCGCCACGCCCCTTAGCATGGTTCATAAATCACCTACTTTATCCAACGCTCTAATGTATCTTATTTAGAAATGAACTAAACTACAAGGTTACTCGGTGGATGCAAACAATGACTGCGAACGAACGAGGAGCACGAATTTCCACAGGGTCTGCTCATGGCCCATAGCCATTCCTCCCGGGTTAAAGCACGACGAACAGGAATGCCAAGACCGGAAAGCACCCAAGGCCTGCGCGGGCCTTCCGCCTCCGCAGCTCGGGCAGAAGGCAGAGCCGGCCTAGGCGGCACCCTGCCCGCCCGGCTCCCGCCGGCTCGCCGCTCGCCACAGTACCTGACAGGCGATCGACCTACGAAAGGCGCACGCCATGCCGCCCCGACGCCCGCCTCCACACGCCCCGCCTCCGCGCCGGAAGTCGCCTCCGCTTCCGCAAGGGCGCCCGGAAGTGCTCAGTGCGCAGGCACACGGAGCCGTGGAGTATGGCTACTTCCTCGGTGTCCAAGGTACGTGGGGGTGGCGCTTGCCATGGCTCCTTGGCAAGCACGGCGAGGCGGAGGTGTGACGGGCGTTGGCTCTGGCTCCGGGATGAGCAGAATCCAGGCGGCTTTGCCCAGGTCCGGGTTCGAGGCCACCTTTGCTTTGGCCACCTAGGCCGTGGCGCCTTGGCAAGCCGGCCGGCTGCCCCAAGAATACGCCGCTTCCCCCTCCGCTCCCCGCCTTTTTTTTCCCCCCGCATAAGTACTTACTGTGAGTTTAGTTACCGAAATACAGACGTAAACAAAATATCTTTCAGTATACTCAAATATTAATAAGCAGCCGATCTTGAATTGCCCGTCTTACTAAGGGGAAAAGTTCTGAGAGAAGAGGGACGAACCAAGATTGCTAGGAGACCAGCGAAGCTTTTGGAGTGACAGTTTGGCTGAGACCTGAAAAATGAAGAGTCTTGGCGGGAATATGAAGCGTGAGGGTGGGAGAGCAGAGTGACATGTTCTTTGCCTTAGAATGTAGAAATAAAGGAGCGGATTAAATAGAAGAATCGGGACAACCCGAAAGTGGAGAACGGAGCATTAGGAAAAAACGAGAACAAAAATGTAATTCACGTGAGTGTTTGTGCTGGGGCATCATGGACTGCGCACATAGCAAGGGAGTGCCAATCAAAATGTAGTTATCAGAGGAGAAATCCTAGGGTTGTGTCGCCCCCTAGCAGGCGGTGGCTATTTACATTTGAATTAACTTAAAATTAGTTTACCATTAGCATGAACCCTGTTTCAATAGCACATCAGAACAGCTGTTTGGCATTTACGTTAAAGAAAGTTCTACTGGACTATGTTACTATGCCATGTAAAGAACGGCTTATTTTAAGTACAGAGGGATACTCCTGAGTGAAGCTGTCTGATAAAGCTGAAAATACAAGGTTCTGGAAGGTTTTGTGTTTGGAGTTGAAGGGGGGACACTGAGCTGGATTGTCCTTTTTCTAAGAGATTTATTAGAAGTGATATTAATACCATAGGCAGGCAGGCAGGCAGGCAGCATGGCAGAGGCTGTGAGGAGAATTCTGGCCCACATGGCAGAGGGAGTCCCTTTAAAGTTTTCACAGGATGAGGGTTCTGAAAGAGATTGAAATGGTTTCTGTTTTGACCCACAGTCCATGGCTGCTAGCGGTAACCAGGGAATCTCAGTTCATGAATTTTAGATGATTGATAAAACATCTTTCCTAGTTGGGCAAATCTGAGGAACAGGGAAAATAAGAGTATAGAAACAAGTTACTTTAGTTCAAGAAACCAAATTACAGTTACAGACATTGTCATAGTTCAACCAAAATGGTCCTGTCTGCTCCCCCAAGTGCTGGCAGTAATGGTGTGCACCAGGACACCCAGTCCCTAGTTTAAGATTTTGATAGGACTGACTGGCTGGTGCTAGATTTAACTGCACGAGTACTTTTATTAGTGCTATTCCTGTTTTTTGTTTGTCCTTGGCTACAAAGTTCCAGATGTTGTGGTGCCCTATCTCCTCCTCATGTTTGTTTCATAAAACTTCATTTCTTCTTCTATAATTTGTGCATCCTGATCAAGTGCTCTACCACTTAGCTGCATACCCAGCCCTAGAGTTTAAAGCCCATTTAAACTTAGAGAAAATTATATATAAATTATATATATATAATATATTATATATATAAATATAATTTGCCTTCTAACAGATAGCTACATTGGTGATTGACTATGAAGTAGACCTTATATTAATAACCTTTAAGGACTATTTCAGCAGTTCATGGGACTACCAACATTTTAATTTATTTTTCTTCTTAAACCTATCAAGTATTGTTATTTCTCTTTTCATATACATATACACACACATGTGTGTGTGTGTGTGTGTGTGTGTATGGTTTTTTTTTTTTTTTCTTTTCTATTTTGTTGTTTTTCAAGACAGAGTTTCTCTGTAGAACAGTTCTGGCTGTCCTGGACCTTGCTCTGTAGACCAGGCTGTAGAGATCTGCCTGTTTCTGCCTCCAGCGAGCTGGGACTAAAGGCGTGCGCCACTACTACCTGGCTGCTCTTCATACTTTTGGCTGATGGCCTTCCAGTCTAACATGGTTGACCATGTTACCGTTCACGTGTTTATATTAATATTTGTTGCTTGTATCATATCCTTGTGCTAATATTCATTATGTTAATATCCATTCAAGAGCCCTTCATGTTTTGCTGCATCAGTGCTGCCCCTACTGATTTGCAGGTCCATAGGGAAAGGATGTAGTAATAAACTTGTCATGGTACAAGGTACTTTTAAAAAATATTTACAAGTAGTTCATATAGCTTTACTAGTTGCAAATATAAGAATACAAGGTACAACTTAATTTGGAACATGCTATCCACATGGCCACTTTATATTTTACACAGCTATCTAATACTAGTCAGAGATGACTTTTTTTTATCATGTTTTATTTCTTCTTTAATTTTCCATATAAATGGAAATCTTAGGAGACTATCCATGAATTATAACTTACTTTTTTGTAGAATACACCACAATTAGAAACTTAGGAGCCAATAGTCAAATGTAATAATAAGACATTTAATGTAGCTATAGAAAATTACCATAAAAATAGCTGGGGTGTGGGGGGGAGAGGGGTGGTGGTGGTGGGTGGTGGTGACTGCAGCGGTGGCGGTGTTGGTGGTGGCACCCGCCTTTAATCCCAGCACTCGGGAGGCAGAGTCAGGCAAATCTCTGTGAGTTTGAGTCCAGCCTAATCTACAAAGTGAGATCCAGGACAGGCTCCAAAGCTACACAGAGAAACCCTGTCTCGAAAAACCAAAAAAAAAAAAAAAAAAAAAGAAAGGAAGAAAATTACCATTAAATTACTTAGCAAGTATTTATTCATTCTGTATACCAATCATCTAATGTATTTGTTAGTACTATCATAAACATTGAGGAGGTGGTTAGAAATAAAATATATCTGTCCTGTAAATGTACTCACAGTTTATATTCAAGCAAAGATGTTTGAATCCTGGAATCTCAGGAGAAGCATTTCTTTCTTCTTTTTTTTAAAAGATTTATTTATTATGTATACAGTGTTTTACCTGCACGTACCCCTGCCTGCCATGAGAGGGCACCATATCTCATTACAGATGGCTGTGAGCCACCATGTGGTTGCTGGGAACTGAACTCAGGACCTCTGGAAGAACAGCCAGTGCTCTTCTGAGCCATTTCTCCAGCCCTGAGAAGCATTTCTTGAGAGAGTATCCAGGATGGTGTCCCTGTCCCTGTCCTATGCTTCCCACTCCCCCTCCTCCCTCTGCCCTGCCCCCAAGAGATGAGGATTTGATTTGGCTTGGTTGCATAGCTATGCTGGCCACAAACTCATGCAAAGGAGGATGATTTGGAACTCTTGGTTCCTCTGTCTCCACAAGCACGAAGATTATAAGTGCATGAACCATGCCCAGGGTTTTTAAATGGTTTATTGTATAGAGCAGGGACCTGGAGTTCACTGTATAAACTAGGCTAGCTTCAAAGGAGGAGAGGTTATATGAGCAAAGGGGACAAGATCATGATGGGGAAATCCACAGAGACCTGAGCTAATGGGAGCTCACTGACTCTGGCCTGACAGCTGGGGAACCTGCATGGGACCGAACTAGGCCCTCTGAATGTGGGTGACAGTTGTGTGACTTGGGCAGTTTATGGAGCCACTGGCAGTGGTACCAGGAGTTATCCTTCGTGCATGAACTGGCTTTCTGGAGCCCATTCCCCATGGAGGGAGGCCGTGCTCAGCCTTGATGCAGCAGAGAGGGGCTTGGTCCTGACTCACCTTGATATGGCAGACTTTCTGACTCCCCATGGGAGGCCTTGCCCTCTCCGGGGACTGAATAGGAGGTCTGGTAGAGGAAAGATGGAGGGGGGATGGGGGGGGGACGGGACGGGACGGGACTGGGGACTGTGGCTGGTATCTAATATGAAAAAAGAACTCTTAAAAAGACAAAAAAAAAAA